AAAGCTGCTTAAATAATTCATTTTTATTACTCAAACGATTGCATAATTGTTTCATGTGTTGTACACAACAATTAATGCACACAGCTTGACTTCTATATAGCAGTGAATTCTGTTTCAATCTTAAAATTTAGATGTTTTATTGCAAAGTTTATGTGGAGCTTAGCTCAATGCATATCACGTCCCATACACAAGAAAGGAAATCTTAAATGTCTTTATTATTAAAGGGCATTTTTGTTTATTTTGGGGGTGATACTGGTTTCACTGATGTCTTTCCAGTATGTTTGGCATATTAGTATTTTTTTTTTCTTGAGAAGCTGGTACACCCCACTTCAAATCAGGTATATATCATGTAATATCCTACATTTACATCATACGAAAATACAATTGTTAAAACTTATATAGTAATACAAGTTTATCACTACTAACAATTTGAACTTTTGATGAAAATATCTAATTGGTAGGTACAACAAAGGTTTATTCTATTACCATGCTAATAAACAAATTTTCTATAAATGAAACTGATCCTTCCTAACCCCAACTAGGAATTGAGAACGTAAGAAAGCCTTCATCTGAAATTTACCAAGCATGGACTCTCCTTGACCATAAGAAGCCAGAGGTTTTATGCTGGTAAACCTCCAAATGTGAGTATTGAAGATTTGGGTGATTGGAACCCAACTCTTTGAAGTAATAAGCTGGAAGATGTGCCCAACTGCCCAGGTGGTAACACTTGGAGTCAAACATACTACCCTACTCTTTAAATAAGGAAAACAATTTAAAAGAAAAAAAAAACTCTAAGTGCCTCAAATTATTGGAGTCAAGCATTCATCTGATAAATCCCTGGGTAATTGGCAGTTAGCTTTTCGTGATATTTTCAATTACTTCCCAAATGAGTAACAATTATTATATCTCAGTATATCCTTTTTTTCCCGGTTTGCCTGATGGCATGTCCAAATTGTTGAAGCTTCAGATTTCACAATTTGTAGACCTAAAAATATGATCACTAATTGTTGCCTGATATTTATGCCATCTTCAATGTCAAAATTATGGAAAGAACAAATGATTATTGGTGAGAATTTTGCTCTCCTCAGCTGTGTAGAGAATATAGACAAATGAAATGAAACAGTATAAAGAACTTGGCATGTTATCCGTAGAGCATGACCAAGGGGAAACAAGCATACCTGCCCTAATTTACTGTATTTCTAGAGTTAATTTATCTGATCAGTTCAACACAACTTAAGTAATTCAATATTTACCATGTGCATAGTCTGACTCCAAGTAATGTCATGATCTTTTCAACATGACATTTCTATGTCAAGTCCAAAAGGCCACAACCATCTTCTCTGCAGTCTGCTCAGCGGCCAATAGAGCTGCCACAATGATGCCAACATTAAATTTCTTTTCTGAAGAATCCAAAAAAAGAAAAAGATTAGTTAACTTTTTTCTGGGACAGCTTCTTGGTCTGCACAAATCTCTTGAGAGTGTCATATATAGTTTCTGATTCTTTAGTGTTTATCACAGGCCAAGCCAGTCATTCCAAGGCGAGAACAGTGATAAAGTAGTCAAAGGGATAATCATGAAACTGGTACTTTCATGTATTTGACTCTTTGGGAACTCAGAACTCTTAAGAGCATAGGCAAAAAGAGTAGGTGGCAGTGGCACTAATTCAACTTGACCTTCTTTGTTGGTCTGGAGCAGTTTGATATACTATATTCACGAGGCATCGGACTATTGGTAATAGGAGTGAATCATCATGATGTTTGCTCTATCTCGGTGTGCTTCCCTTTCTCTGTTGTCAAAACTCAAAATGCTAATCATAAACACAGTGAGGAAATTATGCTGTGAGACTATAGCTTTAGAGAAAACTAGCGTGTGCCAGTGGAGCAAGTCCATATTCTTCATGTCACAGTTACTTTTAGAACACCTAGAAATCCAAAGTCCTTCATTGTTAATAAAAGTTGGAATTTTCATTTTGTTGTATCCTCTGCAACATTGTCTCAAATAGAAAACCACAGCTTCTCCCGAATGCATGCTTTCTGAGGTGTTGATGTCAAATTGAAAATCAGCACATTAATGTGGATATAAATTCTCTGCTCTTCTCATTTCTCAGTTTCACTTGCGTTCATGCATCAATAATTAGCATTTGACAGATATTTCCAAGTGCCAAATACTTGAGACCCAAAGCATCAATTTTGTTTTCTTAGCCTACTGCAAACTCTTTTGTTAATAAGATTGAAGGATAACCCACAGGCTCCTCTAGGAAATGTCAAAACAAAATCTCGACTAGTAAAGTAATACCACTTGGACTAATTAATAGAAAAAAATTCGAAATTGAACTATATATAGAAACTCTTCAAATTTTGGTCATGGAAATCGGAAGAGACCACCGTGCTTCTGCTTCTGCTATTTCAGCGCTCCATATACTTGGGAAGTTGGAAGCAGAAACTATATACTTCTTTCTCCTAAACAAGCAGCATTATATATTGAGGACAAAAGTGAAGAAGCAGTAGTAAAAAGCTCAGTAACCAAAATTATGGCTACTATGAAGCGTAAGTGAAGGTCAGAGAGTAGGATTGCCATGGAAGAGAAGTTGTTCTTTCTGGGGATGGGTATTATAAGAGTAAGAAGTCATATATTTGATAAATCAATAAGAAACTTGTTGGAGCATACATTTGAATATTTAATTTTAAAATTAATTGACAACAGATGAAGACACCTTTCTTATATTTATATATTTTTTATATCTTCAATTAAACAGATGAGAGATTTTTTTATCATCACTTTAATACTCGCCCTCACGAATAAAGATAACAGATTTAATACTTTTCTTCATATGTAAAGACAACGGATTTATCACGTGTCATGAATCATGCAAAAGCCAACTAATGAAGATAGCACCTATTTTGATATTATGTTAAATATTTAAGATGAACATCCATTCAAAACCAATTGACAATAAATAGAAAGACTTTTTTTTTATTTATACGTACCATAATGATTTTTCACAAAATTTCCAATTTAAAAATTAGAAATATACTTCATAAATTTCTAATATAAAAATTAGAGGCTCACATTATTAGAATTGATCCCAAGTTATTGGGGTTTGATTACCTTTTAAATTGTTTGAATATTGAAGCTTGTAAAAAAAAAATTTGTTTGAAGAATGAAATTGTTTCTCATCGTATGGGTGGCAATCTAAGACGATTAAGACAAATCATGAGATTATATATTGATTTAACTAGAACGTTGTTGTTGTCCACATCTCAACAAAAGTGTAGCTAAGAGAAGCATACAAAGAAGAGTAAAGCCATTACAAACATATACATTGTTCTCAATATTTCATATATTGACTTGTCACTAACAACGTTAGGCTTAACTTAATCTTGTTATTTCTTGCAATTAAAATGGTCAAAATCTGAGGAAAGGAAATGCCGCAATTCTAGTTTGGCTTCATTTTTTGTTCTTGTTGCCTTCTTTTTTCATCTCATTTTTTTTCTTGACAAACTCTGTGGCAATTTTGGCTGCTCCCAATGAGAACAATTCTGCTGCTTTCTCTTTGACGACATCAGCTGTTTCACTCACTTTATCGGACATTGTTTTCACCTGGAATTCCCATAAAATTTGTCAATATAAACCACTCAACAAGATCTAATTAAGGTTGTCTTGTTCATGTTTATGACTAATTAAAAGGTTAAATGGGTCGAAAGGATTTTTGAGGTGGAATTAGTTACACTTGCCTTATACAGGCTAGTTGCCAACTTTGAAGAAGAAGAACTTGGACCTGACTCTTTGAATAAAGAGATGCATACACTTATATTATTGAATCAAATGCTTAGGCTCATTATTATAGATTGAATCTTACACTTGTAGAAATAGATTCAGCTGCATCTTTAACTGACTCTGCAGCTTCTTTCACGCTTTCAGCACTCTCTTCGGACTTCTTGCACTGTGATTCTCATGAAACCTTGTTAGAACTTAATTTGCCGACAATACTAGTATATTTTTACATTATTCAAACCAATTACAATTACTACAAAGTTTTATCCAAGCTGCTATATATATATTGCAGGCATCAGGGGTAAAACAAACACGCATGTTAGTGAATAGAATGAATCAGAACCAACATTTTTATTCTAATTGGAAGAAACCCAGGCTAAGTTATTTCATATTTCTGCAACAATGGTGTTGCATATCCTAAATAACCGATTAATTAACCTTTTCTTTCCCTAAAGCGACGAACTCCACTTGCATGGTAAAGCTTATACTTAATTACCAAACGTCGAACTTAGGACCAATATATATTTATGTATTTAACAGGTACATACAAGTAACAGGTGAAAGAAATTACAAATTTCCGAAAAGAGAAAACAAAAAATTAACTTGCCTGAAGGGGTCTTGCAGCCGTGACAAACGCTCTAGTGCTCCAACCACCCGTTGCACCGGCAGGGAGGAATTTAGACAACTTTGCAGTGAGATTCCGGGTTGACATTTGTTCTTCAGTCTGTAATTTCTTCAGATGGGAACTCTTGTACTTTTCAGGCCAAATTGCAGTCAATTTTTTTATTTTTCTTTTCATGGATCTTTCTTGATCTTGGTTTGGTTATATAGAGAAGGAAGAGGAGGAGGAAATAAACAAAAATGCCATATGTCACTTGTTGAACATTTTTCTGCTTTGTGGCTCTGTTAACTGCCTTTTGCAGGTGCATGTATTCCGGATCTATTCCTAGTTTTTCAGGTTTTTTATTCTAATTTTCAATGTTTTTATCTTTGGAAATTAGTTCAAGAGAAAGAGAGCAGTGACATTGGACAAAGCAATACGTAGTCTACTCGGAACTAATTCTGATGCCCGGAAACATCAGGATAAACCATGCAATTATTTTTATTGATCATTATTCATGAGGAGGATATATATATATATATATCACTGGTTGCAACAACAAAATTGATAAAGCGGAGGCTGACATGCGCCCCCATTGAAACCTATTCTACGGCAGAAGCCATCGCAATCAGGAATATCTTCACATTTTCCCTGGCAAATTGGCGCTGCCTCCCCTGCATTTTTCCGACCACAATCACACCAATAGTCATTAATTTGTAAGTAGAAAATTGTAAGAAAATCTTAAAGATTACTAAAGATATGGAAACTGAAGTGAATTAAACTTTTTCCCTTTTTTTAAATTCTACATACCAATAAGTGAAAGGAAGAGAATGATAGCTGTTAGCATAATCACAACTCTGGCAAGGCATGAGAGGCTGCGAGGACCCATTTCCTCTTAAGTCTTGAATATTGAATGCTTTATTTTTTTTTCTATGAAATTGTTGCAAAGGGTTTAGCCTAAAGTAGATGAATTTATAGCAATCTGTAAAGTGAAAAAGCAAAAACAAAAAAATGAACGTTTATTGCTTTGAATTTAATATCAGGGTATTTTATTGCCATTTAGCTTAGAAAATCTTTAATTACTTACTGTAGTAAACGTTTCTTTTTGGGGTATAATGTTTATATATTTGGAAAATTAATAAATAGGATAATCTTTCCATATATGGAATAATGGAATATTGACCAGCTTATTTTTTGAAGGCAATTATATATTTTTACCTTCTCAAAATAAAAGTATTGCTTTCGATCTTCTTTAAAGGGATGTAAATGTTTTAATTAATTGGTAAAATTTATAATGAAGCGTATGATCAAATTCTATTGTTCAGAAATTAATATGATGACATCAATACTGTAGTTCATGAGCAAAAAGACGTAAGTATTAAATATAAATTCAAAGCAAAATCTCTCAATTACTATGTAAACAGATTAGGTTATGTTATGATTAAATATTAATTTTCTTTATCATTAGACTTCATCAATCGGCATTTACGGTGAATTAGAGAGCAAATAGAAAACATTACCATCATGTTGCTAACGCTAATTAATTGGTTAATTAAATTGACTTTTTTTTATATTTGAAGAAGGATATTTTAATTTTTTTTAAATAGATCATATATTAATTAATAAATTAAATACTCGAATGTTAATTAAATTAATCTTATTTCTAGTAACGTAATTTTACTGAGCACTAGGCCATCTAAAGTGTTCAGCAATTGTTAGGGACTTTTACTGGCACAGGGCTTGTGTGTAGATAAATAAATGCAATGACAAAAGAACTGCTTCATAGCGTTGAAAGCAATTCTTTTTCACACCAGACAAAAAACAAATATAAGTAACTCTCTACCAATACAAGAAACTCAAATGCCCAAAAGGAAGCTGGGCATATCCACAATAATTCACAAAAGCCCTCTTCAGAAAGGGGCCAGAACCCAAGAGGATAAAGAGCTATCCACCACAGAATCACATCAGGAAACCTTCTCAAGGCAATGCTCCAGAGGAACAAACCCGAACCCAAGAGAGGGTGCAAAAGAGAGATGCTCCAGAAAAACGAAAACACAACCGCATCAAGCGCATCACGATCCAGGAGGAAAAGGAAGGCTTGAATTCATGGAGAAGGCTTCTCCAAGCGTCCCCTTCCAGCTTAGGTTGACAGATCAGCAAACGCTTCAAGGGGAAAGATCACTCAGCATCCAGAAAAACTCCCATGGTCCAAGGCAGAGATCCTTTGACAATAGTGCCCTACAATAATATTGGATATTACAATAATTATGTACTAACTCAAAGATTATTAATTAGAAAAATTAAGAGGTTAATGATTATAAATTGTAAGTTTAGATTTTCATTGAATAACCAGTTCTTCAAACAACAAAAGGGGTAAATTACCTCCAAGTATTTGCATCATCAGTTTCCTGGAAATCTGCCGATGGTTCCGGAAAAGCAACCTGCAAGGAAAGCAGGTTAAGTTAGCTTTCAGAAGACTACTGCCCAAGATAACATTGGCCATCAAAAAATGTTGTTGTGTGTGCATGTCTAAGCATTTAAGCCTTCGCCTATGCGATGGCTTCAAGATGTCAACGTTTTGAAGGAAAATTAAAACAGCATCGATAACCCAAAACCCTCCCTGCAACAAGTCAGATCATCGATCAGCAGTCACGCCCCAAGTTCGCAGCTGGAGTACTGATATACTAGTTAAAATAAAAAAGGTGATTAGTCCAGCTCTCAGCAAAGCTAGTCAAAAGTAAATGGAATAATCAATGGATGGAGGCAGCAGTTCTCACAATTAAAGATGAGAGATCAATTCAAACCAATT